TAAGGGCCGAGGGACTTCAGCTCCCAGAATCCCAGGAGCTATTGGCCAACATGGGACTATTGGCCAACATGGCTGAGGCTTCTGGGAGTTGAAGTCCCTTGGCCCTTAAAGGGGAAAGGTTGCCTACCCCTGCCGTAGGGATTGCCAGCAATGGCTTTGAGGTAAGGTTGGTGTTTCCCCTCAGTGTAAACAAGCCCTTAGATTCTCGGAATGCTGTTCACCATGACTACATGGAAGATAACTTTGTTCTTAGTGGCACTATATTTGTGGATGCTCTCTGAAAATCTGCTCCTATGTTATGTCATTTAGGTGTCATCTTCAATTTTTCAAGGTTTTTTAACTCTCAGTTTTGTTGTGTAAGATTACAGTGTGTCTTCACTGAAGGAAATTACCATATATACTCAACTATTGGTTAACCTCATCTATAAGTACAGGGCAGGTTTGGGGGCCAAAATTGTGGATTTTGATATGTCCTGTGGATAAGTCGAGGATAAAACCTAGGGGCATCTAAAGGATGAAGCAAAGGAAAACAATGCCAAAAAACCTAGAAAATTCCACACTAAATATGAGTCAGTTTTTCTTGTCTTTCACCAAGAGATGGTTCCTTTTTAAATAAGATTTAAAGGATAGTACTTTGACCCATGAATAAATCGATTCAGTTTTTTGGGTAATTTTTTTTTTGGCTAAAATGTCTAGACGTATAATTGAGTATATAATAATAATAATAATAATAATAATAATAATAATAATAATAGTAATAATAATTTTTATTTATAACCCGCCCCTCTGCTCGGCAGTCGGGGCGGCATCCAACAGATTAAAATATAACAAGTTAAAACAATACCGTACTCCCCCCACTAACCCTCCCACCCCTTAAAAAAGAATTAAACTATTGTGAAGTTAAAATCAATCAAATAACATTCAGTTTAAAAGACCAAGACATCCTGGCTGAATTCCCTACAAATCACAACGGCAGAGAAATCTGGTAGGTCACATACGATTTCTCTTTCTTTCTCCTGTTTCTTGCCGGGCGGTTATTCCGGGAAGGCCTGCCGGAAGAGATCCGTCTTTACTGCCTTTTTAAAGGCAGTAAGAGTGGTAATAAGACGGATCTCATCCGGCAGGCCATTCCATAACCTGGGGGCGGTCACTGAAAAGGCCCTCTGGGAGGTCTGCGAAAGCCTGGTCTTTATTGGTTGTAGCAGATTCCTCCCAGAGGAGCGAAGGGCGCGGGGGGATCATATGGGTAGAGACGGTCCCTAAGATAAGTTGGACCCAAGCCATGTAGGGCTTTAAAGGTTAAAACCAACACCTTGTACTGCGCCCAGAAACTAATTGGCATTTGAGCACTGGTGTTATGTGCTCCCTCCTAGATGTACCGGTGATTAACCTGGCTGCCATATTTTGAACTAATTGCAATTTCCGGGTTAAGCACAAGGGTAGCCCCATGTAGAGTGTGTTACAGAAATCCAGACGTGAGGTTACCAGAGCATGTACCACAGTTTCCAGATCCCTCATGTCCAAATAAGGGCGCAGTTGACGTATCAGCCGAGCTGATAGCAAGTACTCCTGACCACCGCATTCACCTGACTAGTCATGTGAAGCGATGAATCTAAGAGCACCCCCAGACTGCGAACACAGTCCTTGGAGGAGAGTGTGACCCCTTCCAGGACTGGAGACTGTATACCCAAATCTGGTTTCAGGCCTGTGACTGCCAGTACCTCCGTTTTGTCCGGATTTATTTTAATCTGTTTTTCCTCATCCAATCCATTACCGCTCTGAGACAGTCGTTAAGAGGAGAGACGCCATCTGAAGTCTGATGATGATGGAGAGATAAATCTGGGTGTCATCAGCATACTGATGGCACCGAGCTCCATGCCTCCGAATGATTTCACCCAGCGGCTTCATGTAGATATTAAATAACATCAGGGACAGGATGGCGCCCTGAGGGATGCCACAATTAAGCTCTATTTTGGAAGAGCAACTGTCCCCGAGCCTCACCCTCTGGGATCTGCCAGAGAGGAAGGAACGGAACCACTGCAGAGCAGTGCCTCCAATTCCTAACTCTCTCAGGCGATCCAAGAGGATGGCATGGTCTATAATGTCAAAAGCCGCTGAGAGATCCAAGAGAACCAGCAGGGTCACACTACCCCTGTCG